CATCTGCGGATCCCATGTCTCCAGCCAACTGTGCTGATTTGGGGATTTGGCTCAGCCTTCCCTGGGCATCACCGAGGTTGGCCTGGCCACTCTGATGGCAGGAGACACTGATCTGGCCACCCTCATAGCCTGGTCACCCCGTCACGGTCCTTGATTCATCTTGCCGTGGCTGGGAGGCAGCCTCTCCCACACACAAATGATCTCTTAGTGAGCTATAGCACATTGATTCATATTCATATAGATAACACCCAATTTTTATAAAACTTCCCAGGTGCCAGGCACTGTATTTACATGCATTACTCATTCAAGCATCACAACTCCATGAGTGCTAGACTATCACTGCCCCCAGTTTATGGACTGAGAAAACTGGAGCATCAAACTTTGCTAACACACCCAAAGCTGCAGGTGAGGAACAGAGCCTGGATCCCACCCCAAGATATTCAACTCCAGATTGCAGGAATTTTCCTAAACATCAAGCCATGAGGCCACTGAAGGTACGGAGGACTGGCACCCAATTCTTTCCTCAAAATGGTGGTGCTGTGGTGGACGGAGAAGCGTATGAGGAGGCAGATACCTGAAAGAGGGAGGGGAAAGAAAGCAGGGAGGGGCCTGGAGCCAAAGAGGAACCGGGACCTGCTCTTCTGTTCCCCAAGATCTGGCCCCATGGGGGATGGTACAGAGAGGGATGGGAGTGAGAAGAGGAGGAAGGAACTGGAAAGAGAGTAAGTGAGCAGACGGGCCCTCAAGGCGAGGAAGGCGGGCGGCGGGCTGAGACCAGTGGTGAGATGGATACAGTATATCCCAGAAGCAGGGTGGGAGGAGGAGCTGGGGAACCAGTGTTCCCCCTCCATTGGCCCCTGGATCGCTGATTCAGGGCCCAGCCAGGCAGTCGCAGACTTTGGCCATAAAGCATGGAAGCACTCAGTCCATCATGGTAGCCTTCTTATTAACCACGTTTTTCCAAAGGCATAAGAAACACCAGTGACCTTTCAACAGGGCTCCCCAGGTCTTGGGGAAGAGAGGACCAGGGGAGCAGAGATGGAGACTGAACACTAATCCTTCTGCCAGCAGGGCTCGGGCCATGCCCCGCAGTGCCAGTTTCCTGGCCCTGAAGCAGGCTGCAGGCTGCCAGGCCAGGCAAAGCCGGCGCCAAGGAAAGGAGGAAGGCTGCCCCCAAGGCCCTTGGGATACCTTGTCGCCAGGCCAGCATCCCTTGGAAAACACTGCAGAGAAAACAGCAAAAATGAGACAGAGGATTTCCTTCCTCCTCTGGCATGTCAGAAATTCCCTCAGCATCTTTCCAGGAACCATGGGTCTGTCTGTATAACAATCCTAGACGCCTGTCAAAGTTTTTCAGCCACCCCACAAACAGGAAAGGGGAAGGAAGCAAGATGGAAAGGAAGCATCAGGGTCTGTCGCTGTGGCTGGGTCTTGTCACAGGGGATAGAGCAGAGGAAACCCAGATATTTCCTAGTTGATGGGGGTGGAAGCTGAGCGCCCCAGCCTAGAACTGGGGGCCAGGGGACAACAGCAGATCTTTAGAGAAAGGAGTTAGTAGGAAAGAAGATAGAGCAGCAGAACAGATCGGGGCGCGGGCTGGAGGGAAAAGGACGGGTGGGAAAGGAGAGATGGGGAAGAAGGAGAGCAAGGAGGAGGTGGGGATGGAGGGGGAAGAGGAGGGGGATGACAGGGGAGGAGTGGGAGGAGAGTTGGAATCTGCGTTGACTAGCCTGTCTTCAGTTCTCTTGTCTCATCGTCAATATGCTCTCCGTCAGCAAGTTCTTGCCACTGACACTTCTCTTCATCGGCCCCACCGCCCACCCCTCCAGATCCTCCCTGCCTCTTACCTGGACCTTAGCTCCGTTAGTCTCTGTACTTCTCCCATCTCCACCATGTGTCTGCACTTCTTTCTTTTCTCCACTCTAGGATTAACCTTCCTAAACGAACGTTTTCAAGACTTTTTTATCCTGCTACATCAATTTTTTCATAACCCCCCTTTCAATTCCCACCACCCAATTTGGTGTCATGGAAAGAGCATGGGCTTTCTGTAGACTAGACCTCAGGGTTTGTCCGTCTCAGCACTGTTGACTTTTGGGGCCAGACATTTCTTTACTGTGGAGGGGCTGTCTTGTGCATTTCTGCATGTTTAGCAGCATTCCCATTATCCAGTGGCACATTCTCACCCTCCCTCCCCCAACCTGCGACAACCAAAAGTTTCTTCAGGCTTGCCAAGCGTCTCCCGGGGAGCAGGGAGAGGGGGACAAAATTGCCTCCAGTTAAGACCCAGTGACCTAGATTCAAAGCCTGACTCTGTCACCTACTAACTGGCTTCCCTTGGTGATGTGATGTTTGGAGAAGCATATGAAGAGACATAACTTATCTGAACCTTTAGTTTCCTTGATATTAACACAGGGTTTATAATATTTACCTTACAGAGCCACTGTGAGAATTAAATAATAATGCTAACACATAACACGTACCTAAACCTGAGACCTAGTGCACGGTAAGCACTCAGCAAATATTTGTTTCTTTTCCCCATCTCCATCCTCTCATCCAAGAGACTTTAGTAGTTACCACTGTATACAGTACAAACTAGAGTCTCCTCTGCCATTCTGCCCCGTCCTGTGTTAGTTAGCTATCCATTTGTCTGTTACTTTAAGAGACAAAATAATGGATTAAACAACATAGGCATTTCTCTCTCAAATAACAGCCCAAGTAAGAGCAGTCCAGGCCTGATACAGTGGCCACGTGTCATCAGCATCCAGGCTCTGTCTATCCTGTTACTCCTGCCACTCTCAGCACGAGGCTTCCACCTTGTGGTTTTAGATGGCTGTTCCAACTCCCACCACCACGTGTCTGCACATCCAGCCAGGGATAAGGAAAGAAGGGTGAAAGGGGAGGATACACTTCTTTCCTTATTTTAGACAATTATACAATTGGGAGGTTGGCCACATCACTTCTGCTCACATTCTACTGGCCAGAACCTAGACATGGTGACACTTAAAGGCAAAGGAAGTGTCTGGCCAGGCAGCCATGTGCTCGGCTAAACCTTCGATCAGCGTGGATGAAAGAACAGATCTTAGGAGGACCTATAGCCATGCTAGTCTCTGTCTAGAGCCCCATCCTCCACAATTCTAGTGGAAGAGCTGCCCCTGCAGCCAGCCTGAACTACTCACTATCTCCCTCCCACTTCCTCCTCTCCACCCCTTTGTGAGCTCCATCCTCCCACAGGGGCTTCCCTTCCCCTTTTCCTGGCAACCTCAGTCCTGCACGCACTTCAAGGCTGAGCTCAATCCCACCTCCTCCTTGAAACCACCCCAGATTTCCCCACCCAGAGCAAGTGCTGGCTTCTCTAAACTCCAGCAGGTTTGAGTCACAACCTGATTACCCACACCTGAGTCATACTGGCTGGAAGGGCCAGTTACCAGTCCATGTGCTTCTTCTCTTCCTCAGAGAGTCGTAAGTTCTTTGAGAGCCCTAGTCCATGCTGTTTGCTTTTTCTAATCCCTATGTAAAGCACCACATTAATTTTCTAGGGCTGCCATAACCAAGGACGACAGACTGGATGCCTTCAACAACAGAAATTGATTTTCTTATAGTTCTGGAGGTTAGATATTGGACAGGAAGGCATAGGCATGGTTGGTTTCTTCTGGAGGCCTCGGCCATCTTCTCACCCTCACATGGTCTTCTCTCTGTGCCTGTCTGTGTCTTAATCTCCTCTTCTTGTAAGGACATCAGTCCTATTGAATTAGAGCCCACCCATATGACCTCATTCCACCTGAATTACCTCTTAAAAAGCCCTATCTCCAAACACAGTCCTATTCTCAGGTACTAGGGGTTAGGGCCCTAACATAGCTTTGGGGAGGGACACAATTCAGCCATAACGACTATACCATAGATGCTCAGGAAATATTTCTTATCTATCTGATTGAAAGACATGGGTGGAGAAAGAACAACCATACTGTTAACTATCTCCTGTGCCCAGGACCTCTCAGTGATGGTCAACATACTTAATTCTCCACTTACCTCCTCTTAGAACTCAATATTCTCTTTGACTTCCATGATCCCACTCTCCCCTAGTTCTCCTTCCTCATCTCCTTTGTGAGTTCCTCTACGTCTATTACCCTCTGTTCATTGGTGTTTTTTCCTCCTAACGCTAAGCTCTGTCCATGGTGATCGCATGAACTCCACCACTGCAATCATCCTTTGCATCCTGAAGTTCCTCAGATCCATAGCTTCCACCAAGATCTCTTCTGAACAACTCATTCAAAGCACCAAGTTCTATTTGGCCATCCTACTGGTGCCATCACCTCGAATGCCCCAAACTGGATTATTTATCAATCCCTCTATCTTCTTCACCATGATATACTATCTTCCCCAACACACACACACACACACACACATGTCCTTCCTTCTCCAAAGATCCTTATCTTGGTGAACTGTATCACCATCTCCCCAGGACTAAACTCTCCCTCCCTCTTACATCCAATCCACAAATCCCACCAAGTTTTACCTTTTTTTTTTATTATTTGTTTATTTCTCAGGGAGGGAGGTAACTGGGTTTGTTTAATTAATTAGAGGTACTGGGGATTGAACCCAGCACTTCGTGCATGCTAAGCATGCACTCTACCACTGAGCTATACCCTCCCCCCTAAGTTTTACCTTCTTAATACTTCTTATTTCATCTACTTTGGGCCACTGTCATCTCCCACTTAAATTACAAAAACAACCTTCTTTCCAATCTCTCTGCCTTTAATCCACTCTCTCCTCTTCAACCAAAGCAATTTTCTAAAACATAAATATAATGTATCACTCCCCTGATTAAGAACTGTTAGGGACTTAACACTGGCCTTAGACAAAATCCCAAATTCCTTAGTCTGGCAAAAGGAATCTTCATGCTCTGGGCGCTTCTCTATTCAGCTTCATCACTCAACCATCCCCCTCGATACTCTTATGTTACATGACTTTATCGCATTACATTATCATATTACATTACTTACAGTTTCCCAAAGAGCACTTCACTCTCCTTCTGCCTCCAGCTTTTATGCATATTTTTCACGCTGCCTGGACTCCTTTTCTTTCTCTCCTTCTCTGGCTAATTCTTATTCATATTTCAGGTCTCCGTTCAGACCTTACTTCCTCCAAGAAGCTTGCTCATCACTTGAGAAGCAACTCCTCTGCATCCCCTTTCCAGGAACCAGCCTCCTCCAACCTTCACACACATTAACACCCTTCCTGGCAGATTTCATTTCCTAACACTGGGATCCTCTTGTCCTTTGTTCATGTCTTTACTAAAGCATTTATCACACTGTAAATTACTTTGGCACTTCTGTTTCCCCTTCTCATACGCAAGCTCCTTGAGGACAGAGGCTGTGTCTGATTTCTGTGCAGGGAGTCTTTGTGCTTCCAAATCCCCACTCTGCTCTTCTCTGCCCTGCTGGGAGCCCCAAGAGGCTGACTCATCCCAACTCCATCAACGGGGATCAGCCAACAGAAGGAAGTGAGGGAGGTCAAGGTTTTCATTGCACCAGCTAGATGAGTCCTTCAACCAAAGGTCACAGACAGCTCCTGCCAGGGGGCCCTCTCCACGTGGCTCCCTCCTTCTGGGAATTTTCTCTCCTTTTATGCCTTCAGCCTAGGGTTGATAATATCTTCCTGATGGTACTAGCTCCAGGGTACTACACCATCCTTTGTTTTCCTACACTCTGTCCACTTTTGAAGTCTCTTTAATTAGCTCTCCTCAAATTACCAGTTGCCAAACTGAAGTTTGCCAGGGCCTGACTAATTTCCTCTTTGAATCCCTAAATATTGAATGAATGAATGAATGAGTGGATGAAGTGAGGAAAGCATCCCAAGCCACTGGCTAGCTCAGCTTTATCAACCTCCATCTCACCTCCATTTCACAAGGAGGGGAAAGAAATCCCAGTTTAGAACCTGGAACTAAAGGAGACATTTTAGGGTTGGCAGAGACAGGGATCCTGGGGCTTCTTTTGGCAGGAGGTGTGGTGGGAAACCGGAAAGGAGCTGTTGGGTGGATGCAGTCTTGCGCGAGCAGTCTACAAGCTCTTCTGTGGGGCCTGCAGGGGGCTGGGCATATCCTGCCGTCAGCCCCCCGAGGGAAGGCCATGTCCCGCAGTGACTCTGTCCCAGGCAGTGACTGTGGGTGGGACAGGCTTCCAAACCTTCCTTTTCTTTCCCTTGGTCTCACCCACAGAGAAGTGCTTAGAAAATCACTGGATATGTCACTTCCTCCTTCCTCCCACTCAAACCCAGGAGCCAGAAATTCAAGCTCAAGAGGTGTGAGGGGGAAAGGCCAGCAGTTGTCAAAACAGGACAGACCGTATTATTGAAGAGAATGGGATGAAGGCCACGCCCGCCTGTGGGCAGGATCCTCCATGAAGAGTCACACACCACACATCCTGTGGTGTCCTCCCACGCTCCTGGGGGCTGTTAGAGCTCGGAGAGACCTCATCAAACCTGTAGAATCCGGGGACTTGGGAGGGGACGCGATTGCCCAAGGTCACACAGGAAGTTAGTGGCAAAGGAGGGGCCAGAACCAAGGTCTCCCAATGAACAAACCTACCATCTCATGGCTACATACACTCTGCTGCCTCCCAAGGACAGGGGAGGCTTCCGAGATGCCAGGTCCCGGTGGGAGGGACAGGCTCCCAACAGAAGTGGGGCAGGCAGGCCACAAGGGTCACACGCTGGGTGACTCGTGATCGGAGAAGGAGATTAGCACCGGCTGAGCCACAGCCACATACCTGTGCAGGACGTCGTCATGGTGAAGGGTGCTGGTGCTGAGTCCAAACAAATACGGACTTGAATTGTGCGTGACCCTGGAGAGGTGACTCAGCTTCTCTAAGCCTCAGGTTCTTCTTCTGTAAGATGAAGATAAAAAGAATACCCCATAGGATTTGGGGGAGGAGCAAACTAAACAATCCACATTGGGCACTTGAATTCTCACTCCATCCTTTAAGAGAGGGTGGACAGAGGCTCATATAACCAGTTATATTGGTTAAGTTCTTACCGAGAGCCAGACACTGTTCTAGACCCCGGGGATCTAGCAGTGAGCAATGCTGATGAAAATCCCTGCCCTGGTGGAGCTCACACTGTAGTGGGGAAGACAGACAATAAACAAGAAATGTAAGTGAATTGTAGGATGTGATGGGGGTGATGAGTCCTATGGAGAAACAAAGCAAGGAAGGAGATGGAGCCAAGGTGTGGGGGTGGGGGTTGCAGTTTGAGAGAGCGCCCATGGAAGTCCACCACCTGATCACACTGAACAAAGGCTTGAAGAAGGCAGGAGTGTGGGCATGTGGATCTCTGAGGGAAGAGCATTTCAGAGAAAGGGAAGCACAAGTGCAAAGGCCCTGAGGCAGGCACAAAGATCAGAGGGACAACTTGGAGGCTGATGCTCTGAAACAGAGGAGTGCAGGGAGAAGAAGTAGGAGATGAACCTATAAAATGTTGGAAATGATGATGCTGAGAGCTGGGGTTTGAACCCAGAACTGATTCCCAAACCCAGACTCACACTTCTCACTCCCCTACTCCGCTCAGTCCCATCACAGGCTCCCTTGAGGATTAGCTGGTGTGATTGGGGGCTGTTGGTTCTGTTCTTTGTGTGGTTCAAAGTCAGATACCAGGAAGAGGGTGAAGAAATCCATTTCCATGTAAGAATAACGTCTCTGTCTTCAGAACCAAAAATGAGAATATCCATTTTGGTACTTACATGAACTCACCAAGAGGCTACGACAGAATACATGAAATCAGGCCATCCAAGACCTCCAGGACATGGTCACTTTTAACGAGTGCAAATGCTTTTCAATCCCCAAAAGCCTTAGTTGTTTCTCCTTTATCCACCTGCAACAAGGAGCACCCACAAAACTCCTCCCCTGGCTGGGCCCCAGAAGGGGAAACTGGGACTCTTTCAAATCCTCTCTCTGCTGCACTAGCAGCAAGGTCCCAGTAGGTAGCATGCAGGAGGGGTGGCCTGGAGGTCCAGAGGCCCGGTCCTGACTTCTGGTCACTCTCAGGACCCTCTGTGTGCCTTCCTTTTCATCCCCCTGGAAGAGGACCTCTATCTGTCCCCACCCTCCGCACATCTGAGGGTATTGCTAGGAAGGATCAAAGAGGATCTCTTGAAAGGCCTGGCTCCCACTCCAGGTAATTGCCAGGTAAACACACAGTGTCTTTGTGATGTAATGGGCCTGTGCCGGCAGAGCTGAACGGAGGAAATTGCTCACTTTGGGGAGGGGCAGGCACTCTTCCAGGCCATTACGGTCCACTAAGTAAGTCGCCTTTGCCAAGGTGAAATGGTTCCCTTGTGACTTGAAAAGTGAACTATCTCCTACCATTTCACAAAGCATTTCAGAACCTGGGCTATGAACTTCCTCTTCTCTCTCCATGAAGCATCCGTGGCAGGGCTGCCATACTTCTGGCAGAAAGGCTTGAGAGGATAACAGCGTTTCAAGAGTGTGGGAATTCACACTGGAGAAGGTTGGGACAGGCGCAGGGTTTGGGGAAGAAGAGACAGCTAAGAACTACAGGAGGGGTGTCAGGGCTGCGCCAGACAGGACCCTGGGCCCAGGTTTTCAGTCCTGGGCATTTCCCGAGACCACCCATCAGCTGAGCCACCTTGAGGAAGTCCTTGCACGACCTTGGCCCTCAGAGTTCTCATATACAAAATGAGAAGACCATTGCCAAGTTCGCATTCAGCTCGAAAACTCTGTGATGTTAAGCAGCAGAAGAAATTGCACGGGGGCATTTTTAATGGCTGGGATGGCTCATGATTGGGCTAAAATGATCCATCTTTGTGTCTGATCCAGAAACCCCTTCATTATTTGCCACAGGACAGACGGAGACCTAGATGGGGTCTTCATCCAGGCGCTTAAACAGAACACACGAGGTGGGGCTGGTCGTTTTTACGTGGAGCTTGGAGGCCCAGGGGAAAAGCATACAAGCATGCCATACAAGGAGGGGAGGGACACACACACACTCAGCCCCTGCGTTTTAGTATCAGAAGATTATAAGCAGCATCAACAACTTGGCATTCCCGCTGGTGCCAACCAAGCCCTCTCGCTTAATTACATACCTAAAGCACGGCAATTTGAAATCCTGGCAACCATGTTCCATGCAATTGAAAACAAACTAACAAACAGGCCTTCGTTGCCCCCTAGTATTTTGTCAGAATTTGGTTCTGCTATTCCCCCACTACCCTGGTAACACTTAAGGCTTTTCACACAAACAGCCTCAGCGCCCTGTTCCCCTAATGCCTGTCCGTCACTCTCCGACTTCAGACAAGAGGCCCACAGGCAGGTGCCGTTCAAACAACAGCCTTGCTGACTCCCAGCCTGAGCTCCCAGGTCACCGTGCTTCCATTTTTCCCGATTAAGGAACACAAGATTCCTGGACTGAGTTGGGGATGCTGACTGCATCATCACTGGCTTTGAGAGTTGAAAGTGAGACTTGGGCATCCAGCCTCAATGAGCCTCCATGCATTAATCAGCTCTGCTTTTCCTGACTTTCCAGGCTTAGGAGTGGAAATCAGTGCCTAAGAGACGCTCACCATTAGCCAGAATCACAGGGGACAGAGAAGCCTGAACCTGGCACACTCACTTCCAGACATCGTCCCAACCAAATGTTAGCCTCAAATACGTATTCTCACGAGAGCTCCTAACCAGCAGTGACTTGGTCAGGCTTGAAGTTTGACGCACCCCCACCCTCCCACCCCACTCCTGCCCAGTAAATGCTGCCACTTCTCCAGGGAGCAAAGGAGGCCCCGTGGGGTACACTTGGGGATGGCATCTCTGCATCAAATCCATCAGCAAGACCTGGGGGTTCTACTTCAAAAATGGCAGCCATTCCTGTCCTTTCCTTCACCTCCAGGACTGGCTGCCATCACTGCCTGGGCAATGGCCTCTGCTGACAGCTGTGACTTTGTTTCTCCAACTGATTCACCCTCTGCTCCACAGCCTGAAGGGTCTTTGCCAAATTCATAGATGTTGGCAACCATGATTGAAAGCATTGACTTCGTTCTACTTAGACTACAGTCCAAATTCCTTTCTGCAGCCTAGAAGACCCCCAGTGCAAGCCTCTCTTGATGGGCTCCTCATCTTTCTCAGCTTAAAATCAGTGGTTCTCAGTCCGGAGTAATTTTGGTCCCAAGGGACACTTGACACTGTCTGGAGTCATTCTTTGGTTGTCACAAATGGGGGCAGAGGGTGCTACTGGCATCTAGGGGGCAGAGACCAGGGACGCTGCCAAACATTCCACAACATGCAGGACAGTCACCATCATAAAGAAGTGCATTATTCTGCATAGCACAGGGAACTATACTCAATATTCTGTAGTAACCTATAATAAAAAGAACATGAAAACAAACACACGAATGTATACATATGACCGAAACACCATGCTACACATCCGAAATTGATACAACATTGTAAACTGACTATAGTTCAATTTAAAAAATTTAAAAACAAAAACAAAAACAAAATACAAAGATATGTCTGGCCTAAAATATCAATGACGCTGAGGTTGAGACATCTTGGCTTAAATCCATTTCCTCAGAGAGGCCTTCCCTGACCATTTGAATCTAAAGTTGGTTCCCACCCCCATTGTCCTTCACATCACTGACCACAGTCTGTCAATATGTTTTTGTTTTTGTTTTCATACGTGTATGCGCCACCAGGTTAGAGACCAAGAATGTCCTGTTCAGCTTTGTTGCCTCAGCACCTATCACTTAGAAGATGCTCAATAAATATCGTGGAAAGAAGGACAGAAAGGGAGGGAAGAAGGGAAAGAGGAAGGGCAGTCATGACCACACAGCATCCTACTGTTTCTGAGCCCCCTGCAGTATCCTGCCCACCCGCATCTTCATGTGGAAAATCTTCCATTCAGCTCGGCCAGTTGTACTGATGATTTTACTAGAGAATAAGCTTAGTGGATATGAAACATTTTTAAAAGCCTGTGGTGGATGGTAGCATGAAGATGTCCAGATTTCTTCAGTATTAACTTTTTGTTTTTCAAACAAGTCCCGGAGGGTAGGAGCCATGTCCATTTCAGGCTCGAATGTAGCCCCAGCACCCTGCATGGGGCCTAGTGCATGGGTGGTAGGTCCCTAATGATGTTTCTGAACGAGTGAATGAATGAATAAATATCAGAGGAGGCCTCCCAGAAACCCCCAGCCTAGAGGGGAGGGAGGGGCGATACACATTACACCCACTTCTCTGGCAACTCATAAACCCGTTCAGAAAGCCAGCCCCCGGTTCACACTCTAGTTCCTTTCATTGGTGACCTTTAAAAGAGCATTGCCGATAAGCATTTAACCTCTGGAAGAGAATTCTGTCCTTTGTCAGCTATCTGAGACTGCTCTTGAAGGAAAAATAAATTTGGCTTCAAATTTTCCAAACGCCCATTTACAGTTCCTTACACAAAGCCCAGACATTTGTACTATGTTGTCATCCAGAGGCCAGCTAACTCTCTCAAAGGTGACCTTCTCTCCATCCCCCCTCTCCCAGTAACTTCCAACCTAATTACCTCCTCCCCCACTCAGGGCTTCCTGTGGGAAGGAGCTGCAGGCTGTGAGGACTACAATGCAGTCCTTACTGGAATGGATCTGCCTAAATTTCACTCCTAAACCCCAGAGATTAATGTTATTTTATTAGCAACACAAAATGGAAAAGACTGAGCTCTTTCAGTTTAATCTGCTTAGTTTCCGAGGCTGCAGGGAGCTTCTCCAAGGAATGTG